TGTTGTAATTTCTCTTCTCGTTCTTCTTGTTTCTTTTCTTTTTCCTCTAACAACTGTTGTAATTTCTCTTCTCGTTCTTCTTGTTTCTTTTCTTTTTTTTTTCTATCCCACTCTCTGACACCAATTTGTTACGTCTCCGTTTGTTAATTGATTTTCCGTAACTTCGTTCCGACGAAACTTAAGCGACACAAGTCTTTACTTAATAAAACTGGTTTATTCTTTCCCAATATAACTCTGCGATACACTTAATCTCAACAATCGCGCTAAACAAACGCTGTAACGTCTCTCGTGCTCTCTGACTGCAGTTCAATTACTCACTATCTACACACACATTACATTACCTTCTTTTATATACCAGCGTACCCTATTTCTAGTAAGAACTTGAACATTCGTCAAAGTACATGATAGCTCTAGAAACGTTGCGTCACAGTGTCATGTGACTCGCTGACGCAACAAAATATATAAATGTTAAGGGCGTTATTAAAAGGATGAACTTGAGGAGAATAGCTTCCAGTTTTTTAGACAGGGGTTACCTTTTCCACATCCCCTTAGCTTTGATCAGCATTTTTATTAATAAAGAAGTTACATTTACATTTTTTGGAGAACATTCCTGCAGCGATCTCCGACATGTGAAAGGTAAACAAGGTCTACAACTACTCTCCTGTTCCAAATAATAGTACAAGGTGGAAAAATATCAAGACTTTAATAATACTGCAGGGTGGAAAGATTCAGGCTTCAAATTTAATGATTGTACAGGTCGAAATCATAGTATGAAATTGAATTTTGTGTCTTTCGTTAAAGATGACCGAAAAATAATAATCGTGCAGACCCAAATAAGCATCGTGTAGGGTGGAAAATTTATCCAAAATTTATAGTAGTACAGGTACGATTTTTGGGAACATGAGAGTAGTTTAACTCATGATATTGATTTGCAATTAACTTTTGCTTTAGTAAATAATGTGGTACAACACAGTAAGTGCTCTTTTGATGATTGAAAGTTATTCGAAATTTTGAGAATAACAAGAAATATGAGTTTTTTTTTCATATTTTTCACGAATGATATAAAAACAAAATATTGTTACGTCTCTGTTCGTTTGTTAATTTCCCGTATAAATTCCTCCCGAGAAACTTCAGCGATACAAGTCCTTTCTTAAATAAAACTAGTTTATTCTTTCTCAATACAACTTTGCAATACACTTAATTTCCACAGTCACTTTAACTTAAACATACGCTAGAATTCACAACGATTCACGCACATTACTTACGGCTTGACTCGATTATCTGTCTCTATATCTCTCTGTCTGCAATTCAATACGTGTTACCAGAGTCACGTCACTTCCGCTGTCGTAACAATATATAGTAATAATATTGTTATATTTAACAAACAACAGTTCACAATTTCATAATTAATGTTCCTACTGTCATAACAAATACTGTAAATATTGAGTTTAGCATTTGTTGATGTTGCATGATTTAAATGTACATATTTCACCCATTCCGTATCAACGTAACACAACCTATGGTTAATGTTTAAGAATACTTTTAGATTATTATTAATACTTCGTATATTTTAACATGTTATGACGCAATTTTCTTTATAATTAATATTGTTCCGATAAAACTGAACGTCAAAGATTGAGATTATAAACGAATTTCCTTCATTAGGTTTGCAAAGGACTTAAAGTAAATTAATAATTAAAAAATAATAATTACGTACCGTATGAATATAGTAAGAAATATATGTATCAGGTATTTGGTGCTTTAGGTGTTCTCAAATTAAGTCCAAACGATTCAACAGCTGAACTTAACAAAAATCATTACATTATATTTGTATATTATCCTTAATAGCCTTAATCAAAATTACATTCAATCTTGACGTTACAGGTTATGAGAAGCTGAAAAACTCCTCCTCTTTACCATTTATTGTAGATGTGTATTATCACACTTGTAGAGCAGATAGCCCTTGTGTAGCTTTGCGCGAAATTCAAAAACAAACAAACAAACCCACTTATAGAAAAAGTTCAAACTGTTACGTCTCCG